ACCCCTCGGCAGGAAAGTGAACTTGCAAATAATCCAATTTTCTGCAGCAGAAAATCCTGGCATTTACTAAGCACCTACTATGTGCCAAGCACTGTAATTGGTGGTTACATGTATGTGCCCATTTAACCCTTACAACAGTTCTGTGAGTTAGGTTCTGTATTATTCCCTTTTAACTGATGAGGAAACTTAGGCACAAATAGGTTAAATAACTTCCACCAGGTCACACACCTAGTTAGTAGCAAAGGTCGGATTTACACCTAGTTATTATGGTCCCAAGAGTCTGTACTCTCAACCACTATGCCCTAAGGCCTCCTCCTTAGGGGCCGTATTCCCCAAGACTTGAGAACAGCAGAGCCTTGCTCCCACCGTGCAGCAAAGCGAGCCTGAAGCCTAGCGCAGCGGTTTGCCCAAGACTGAGGCGTCTCCGCGAACACGGGACATTCATTTTAAAAGCGGGACGAATGGTCTTGTATCTGTAAAACGCAACTAGTATCAGAGCACTGTGTGGAGAGCTAAATATGATACGAGATGTGAAAGAACTGATCACCCTAAGTCCAGGACTCCTTCCCCTCTCCATCGCACGAATAAGATTTGAATGGATTTCCTCCCCCTTGCTTCCATGTAAACCGAAGGCTGGACGTCAATGGTGGAAATGCAGGCATCGGCCACACCGCCCCTGCTGCCCGCACTCACTGAGCCTCAGCTTCCTTGGTCGGACCTCTGGACCACCGCCCCTTCACCTCTCAGCCGGAGCCCGCCAACGGTTTCAACCGACCGCGGCGAGCACGTGGAGTCGCCGCCTCCCGCCGCGCAGCCTCCACTTACCTCTTAGGCTTCCCAGCGCCAAACTCGCCTCGGAACCGCCCCACACGCCTGTGCGCTGCAGTCACGCCCCCGGCGGAAGTGACGACGCGGATGCCGGAGGGCGGGCCAGGCCGGCCGAGGGGGCGTTGTCGGAATGGTTCCGCAGCCGGCTGTGCCGAGCGAGCGGTGCTGAGGACAGTGGAGGTGGAGAGGAAGCGGCCTCCAAGGGTAAGTGGCCGAAGAGCCGACCTCTGCGAGGGCGTGCGGGCCTGGCAGGGGTGGGAGCGGCCGAGGGGGAGGCCTGGCGCCCGAGGGGCCCTGAGGCCCAGCGGGACCCTGATCCGCCAGCAGGCCCGCATCCCAGGGTGCTGCAAGGTTCAATGGAATGTTGGCCGCTTCCTCTGTGAGTTCACAGGTACCTGCTCTGTGCCAGACACCGGAGGAAGGTGAACGAGACACACAGACCCAGTTCCGGTGCTGGGAACCCGGCCTGCTCCCTTGTGCACCTCTCGCGGCCTGGAAACCCCACACCCAACCGTCTCCTGCTCGTTTCTCTAAGTGGTTGGAGCCTTGCCCGCAGGCAGCCCGCCCCGTCCTTCCCGCCTCCAGGCTGCCCACTTCTCAGTTCCTCTTTTCCTCTTGTCACACGGTACTTAGGAGTGGTGCTTGAGACTGCAGAGCTAATGGCCTAGCTTAGTCTCTCATTACTGTGAAGTCTCTCTGTGCTTCACTTCCACGATGAAGCAGCACCTACTTCATCGGGATCTTGTGGGGATTCCATGAGTTGGTGTGTATAAAGTACCCAGCACAGTGCCTGGTAAGTAGTAAGTGCTCAGTAAACGTTAGCTTGCCTCTCTCGGCCCTTAAGACAGGGTCTGGCACGCCGTAGATGGTCACTAAGTGTTTGTTGCATGAGCGAGTGAGCAGAAGTTGAATGGGGTAGATAAGAGTGGGATATGAACCAGAGTATCTTGAGAAACATTAAGATGGTGGAGTTTCACACTGGGAAGGTTTCACTCTGGAAGTGACCAGAGTTAGGCCTGGAATTGAAGGAATACACCAGAAGGGACAGGAGGAAGATGTTTTCCAACAGAAGTGAGAGAAAGGCCCAAAGGTTTAAGGACAGGGTGCTTGGGGTGTGTTTTATATGCAGGGCACCTATGTGTACCTGGTTCTTGTTTGTACTCTCCTACATTTTTTTCACTTGATTCCCCTCAAAACTTAAAGAGGGTGAGCTCTTACCACTTTTAACAAATATTCTTAACCTTCCCATTGCTGTTGCCTCTTGCTTGGAATACTGTTTCTTCACTGTAAAAATGGAGGGGTCCCCCATGGGACTAGATGATCTTTAAGGTTTCTTCCTGTTCCACAAATCTGTACCAGGAACGTGATGGTGGAGAGATGGACCGAATTGCATCAAGAGAATGGAAGTACCAGGTTTCAGCATAGATGTCTCTTTCTGCAGGAAGTTTTCCTTCCTCTGACTCCACCTCATTCCTAAATTAGTTTCAGTTTAAGTGCTTCTACTGCCCCTCTTTCATATCTCTCCTACAACGTTCTACTTCCTCTCCCACTAGGCTTTAAGCTTCAGGAAGGCATGAGTGACCATTGTACCCTCCTGCAGTGGGTACTCAGTAAAGTTAAGTAAACGGTGGGAAAACTGAGGCACAGAGAGCCTGTGGAGGGCAGGGAACTTCTTGTCCAGTTTATCAACATTCCTTCCTCCCAACATATATTAGGCACGCAGTATCTGCTTAACTGAATTGCCCTGTCTACCGTGATCGAGTCAGGATAGCGCTAAGACAGGAATCCAGGTGTGTCTGCTTGAGGCCAGTACTTTTCTTTCCTTGGAGTGCAGCTAGGGGGCTGGGAGTAAGCCATTTGAACAGTGTAATGGGCAAAGAGGAGGGTTGGACCCCTCTAAGGTAAGCACGTGGTAGTGAGGAGCATGAATTGAGAACCCTTGGGGAACTGCCACAAATTCTGTCAATAGGTATTTGACCGCTTGGTGGAACTCTCCCACTAAGCAGAGGGGCCTTTGCTTTAGGAGCCCTCTCCTCAAGTTACAAAGCACTGGATTCAATTCCATCTGGCTCTTGTTCCCTTTAGAAGTACCTCTTCTTTCACACATATTTAAGCTTTTTCTTTATTGTTTTCCTCTTTTTCCATATTTCCATTCTCTTGATACAATTTGGTCCATCTCTCCACCATCACATTTCTGGTACAGATTTGTAGAACAGGAGGAAACCTTAAAGATCATCTGCTCCCGTGGGGGACCCCTCCATTTTTATAGATGAAAAAATGGGCCTAAAGTGTCCATCCATCCAAAAACAATGTATCAAGCACCGACTTTGTCCAAGCACTCTGCTCACTACCAGTCATACGCTAATCAATAAGAGGTAGAGTCCATGTCTTCACCACAGAAGATTTCTGTTCCTTGTCACAAAGCGGATTAGCTGTAGAGATGGAAGTGAGCCCTGTGTTCCTTCTGCCACTCCACAGCACCTTGGGTGCCCCATATTTGTCCTGGATTGGGCTATGCATTAATTCAGGGCTTATCTGCGGGATTACCTGGATAGTCAGGCATAGTTAAAAAGGCAAATCGTATAATTTGGGGTAGTCATTAAGAGTGTGCACTTTGGAGTCAGATTGCCTGGGTTTGAATCCCAACTTTGCCCGTTATTAGCTGTGTGACACGGAAAGTTTTCCAACCTTTCTGAACCTGGTCAGGTTATATATTGCTGTGTGGCAAACTGCCCTAAAACTTAATGACTTAAAGGCTATTTTATCTCATGATTTTGTGGGTCAGGAGTTTGGGCAGGGCTCAGCTGCATAGTTCTTTGGCACCAAGGGGTGTGTAGCTGACTGTGATCACTGATCACTCCATGGTATTCAGCCAGAGGCAGGGCTAGTCTGGACGGCTCGAGGTGGCTTCACTAACATCTGATGCCTTGAAAGGGATGGCTGGAAGGCTGGGCTAAGTTTGAGCCCTTTTCCCTCTCCACATGTTCTGTCCATTTGAGCACCTTACAGGTGGCTCTGGCCTCCCAGAGGGAGTGCTCCAAGAGACGGGAAGTGGAAGCTGTCAGCTCTGAAGGCCTAGGCACAGAGCCTGCTGAGATTCAAGGAGGAATGTTAAAGAATTTGTTTCCGTCTTTAATCTCAGGTGCCTCATTGTCTTCACCTGAAGATTAAATGAGTTAGCATGTAAAGGGCTTAGAATGGGACCTGGCATATAGGAAACATTTTACAAATATTTGTCATTATTATTACTATTCTTAAGCACAGAATTAAAAAAAAAACGAAACACCAAATCCACTGCCATTGAATCAATTCTGACTCCTAGTGGATTCATATAGGACAGGGTAGAACTGCCCCATAGGGTTTCCAAGGCTGTAAATCTTTACAGAAGCAGACTGCCACATCTTTCTCCTGGGGAGTGGCTCGTGGGTTCGAACTGCCGACCTTTTGGTTAGCAGGCGAGCGCTTAACCGCTGCACCACCAGGGCTCCTTAAGTACAGAATACATTATTGTTTATGGTTGTTATTTACAGGATACATAAGAAATATAAAATACAAATCGTTTTTCCAGAGCTTTTTATAGTCAATCAGGGAAAGTACAGGATTGACATAATGAGACAATTAGAGAAGTGTACAAGTTAATATAAAATAGCTACAATTTTTATAGTAGAAGTAAATGGTGGAGTGGTTCATAATTTGAATCATCATAACTCTGAAGAATTTTTTTCTTTATCACTTCTGTAGAGCAAGAAAATATCTGAGGTAGATTCCAGAACATTTACTGTATTTTAACATATATGTATATGGAGACAAGTTTTTTTGTTTTTTTTTTTTTAAGTCTTTTTTCCCATGGGCAGTAGCAAGCATACTCCAGTGTTAAGAACCAGAATTCAAATCCTAGCTGAGGGACTTACTAGTTTTATGTTCTTGGGCAAATCACTTAAATTAGTGGTAATTGTAGAATTATTTGAGTTAATGGATGTAATGTGCTTAGCACAGTGCTTAGCCTGTAGCAAGTAGTCAGTAAAAGCTAATAATAATATCAATAAAATAACAAACTAAAGCCTTTTCTTTTCAGTCAACCAGTGGAGTAGGAGCACGTAACTGGTTACTTAATTTGGCTGTTCAGTACCCTTGAGTATTCAACCCTGGGGACCATGCGCCACCACCTAACATAATGTTTCCCTTTCTATATTATTGTTTGGGACAATATTTCTACGCCCAGTGCTTCGGTATAGCTCTCTGTAGGTAGTATCATCTCCAGTTCCAGATTCCTCCAGACGCCACTCTGATCTCAAACCAGGAGATCATGCTAATACCCGAAAGTCTGCATGTCAGGAACTAAGTTCTCCATAAAGAAATAGGGGAATCAGAATAAGATGTAGGCTTGAGGGATGAGATGATGGGGGATGAGTTGTGGAGATTCTGAGTTGAAGGGTCACACAATTGGAGATACCTAGCAGAGAGATAGAGATTTGGAACTGGTGGTCGAGGCTAAAATTTTGAATTTAGGAGTTGTCTACTTAGGACACATAAGGACCAAGAATAGATGTGATTGCCAAGTGGAAGAGAAGGCGGCTAGGGTGCTAAGTGTCAAGGAACATAAACATTTGACGGGGGAGAGGGACAGCATAGGGAATGGTGAGGTAGTGTCTTAGTCATCTAGTGCTGCTGTAACAGAAATATCACAATTGGTTGGCTTTAACAAATAAGTTTATTCTCTCACAGTCTAGTAACCTAGAAGTCCAAATTCAGGGTGTCAGCTGCAGGGGAAGGCTTTCTTTGTTGGCTCTGGAGGAAGGTCCTTGTCATCAATCTTCCCTTGGACTAGGAACTTCTCCACTCAGAAACCCCAGGTTTAAAGGACGTGCTGTGCTCCTGGCACTGCTTTCTTGGAGGTATGGGGTCCCTGTGTCTCTCTTCTGGCTTCTTTTATATCTCAAAAAAGATTGTCCTGAGACACAATCTAATCTACAAGATTCCATCAACATAACTGCCGCTAATCCATCTCATTAACATTGTAGTGATAGGATCCACAACACATGGGAAGATCACATCAGATGACAAAATGGTGGACAGTCATACAATACTGGGAATCATGGCCCAGCCGAACTGATACACATGTATTTTGGGGACACAGTTCGATCCATGACAGGTAGTAAGAGAACCAGAGAGTGCTTTGTGACCAGAACCGAGGGAGGGATTTCAAGTTGGAGAGGGGCGGACCACCACAGGTGCAGGAAAGCTGAGGAGGATGGGTGAGGACTGCAGAACGGCCATGGTGGGAATGTGTGCTTCTGCATAGTGAGAAGGGGTCTAGATGGCAAGGTGAAAGGAGTGAGAAAGTAAGTGCAGCTATGTGTAGATTGCTCTTTTGAAAAATATGAAAGAGGCTTGTGAGATGAATAGATGGTGCCTAGGGAAGGGATTTCTTGCTGTCCTGTTTTACTTTCAACATAGAGGGATCTTGTTGTGTTTGTAGGAAGCAGGCAGCCAGTGGAGGAGCTCTGGAAGCAACGAAAGGGGTGATGATGCAGCTAGGTCCTAGGGAGGCAAGGAAGGGCTGAGGGTCAAGGGGAAGTTTGCTTTGGAAGTCGAAGGGAATGAGGAAGGGGGAGTCAGAAATTTGAAGTGAGAAATTAAAGGCGCTCAAGTTGTATATGGGCTCAGCCTTCTTAGTAAAGTGGAAGTCATCGTCATTTTTATGGATAAGGGAGACAGACATGGTGGCCAGGGAATGAAGAAAGTAGAAACAATTTAGAATAGCCATTGTGGGGAATGTAGAGAGAGTCAAAAGACATAAATGAAAACCATTACTATCATTCATTTGCCAGCGGAGGTTAGCTAGCACAAATTTTAATGGAGTGGATCTTTTCCTTCTGTGTACATGTGTTGTGTATCTGCTGTGTGCCAGCCAAAGAGGAATAAGGTGGTACCCTCAAAGAGTTCACAGTAGAATTGGAAACACCAATAATGGAATGTTATGATAAGTTAGCTTATGGAAGTACATATGGGGTGCTCTAGGAGCACAGAGGAAGGACCCCAAGGTCAGACTTGGGGAGGAGATGATGGGATAGAGGGAGCAAGAAGGTCAGGAAGGGTTTCTAGGAGTAGGTGACAGCTCAGCTGAGCCCTGATGGAGGAGGGAGGGTCAGATGTGAATAAAGGATTCCCAGCACAGGAAGTGTCAGAGCCAGACTTCTAAGGGGGAGAGAGAGCACGGCAGAGGTCTGCAGTCCACCTGCTTCAGAACCACCTGGGTGCTTGTGATGCAGATTCCCAGCGCCCACCATAGACTGAGGGACCAAAACCCTGAGATGGCATGCAGGAATCTGCACTTTTAACAGGCTCCCCAGTGATTCTTACAGCTCCATTTACTGAATACTTCTGTAGTTCAGATACTGTTCTAAACGTTCACATGGCTTGTCACAGTCATCTCACTAACCTGTGAGACGGATGAGGAAAGTGGGACACAGACAAGCCTTTTTCCCAGAGTCATATCGTTAGTGAGAGATGGAAATAGGGCTCAACCCACTGCTCAGAGTGTGGCTCATTTGGATTAGTGGATTAGGCTGGGAGAAAAGTAGGGGCCATGTTGAAAAGCTTAGAATTTGGCTTCGAGGTTCAATGCCTTTTTCAGAGATGCTTATGCACTGAGAATAAAAGCAAAGAAAGCAGATAATGGCTTTTTAGGTTTTTAGTGTACCAGGCTGCCATTTTAATCTCCATAGTCTTGTCCCAGTCTGACTTTTCTCCCCATTGTTCCTCTTCCATAAACCACCCCCTGCTAGAGTAAGCTGGACCTCAGAGCCATGTCTTACTCGTCTGTGTATTCCAGTATCTAGCTGTAACACTTGTTTAGTTGTATGTCGTGTCCTTCTTGTGTGTGTGTCTCCCTCACTAGAATTTAGGCTTCAACAGGGTGGGGACCTTGTGTGTTTTGTTCATTCTTATAGCCCTAGAACCTGCACACTATAGGCAGTCAATAATTGCATGTTGGACAATGAAGTTTTCTGTATCCATATAATGGCTTCCTGCCTCATTTGGAGTCAGTTAGAGTTCTTCAGATAGCCTGTGGGCTCTGTGTGTTCTGACCCTCTGCTCCCTCGCAGGTGGCATCTCCTACCCCTCACTCTGCTTGGCCCGTGCTCATGTGTCCAGCAAGCTCCTACTAGTCCTTCTGCCCCAGGTACCTGCAGGCCTCTGCCCAACTGGCACCTCATCAGAGAGGCTGAAGGGACAAATGAGTGGACATGCTGCTTGTGATACTCTTACTGTTGCCTGTTGTTGTTGTTGTGTGCTATCGAGTCGATTCTGACTCAGAACCACCCTATATGACAGAGTAGAACTGCCTCATAGGGTTTCCTAGACTGTGATCTTTACGGGAGCAGACTGTCAGGTCTTTTCTCTTGTGGAGCCACTGGTGGGTTCAAACCACTGACCATTTGGTTAGCAGCTGAGGGCTTAACCATTGCAGCAACAGGGCTCCTTTACTATTGCATAGTGGTGGTAACTTATTTTGACTTGGACCTTATCTCCCCACTAGGCTCCTAATTTTCCCCAGCTTCTAATTCAGTGCCCTATATACAGGTGTTCAATAAATACTGATTTGATCTTAAGCAGTTGGCTTTTTTTTTTTTTTTTAACCTTTTACGTATTTGTAGTCCCTGGGTGGTGCTTAGCCTCAACTACTAACCAAAAGGTTGGAGGTTCAAGTCCACCCAGAGGCTCCTCAGAAGAAAGGCCTGGCAATCTACTTCTGAAAAATCAGCCATTGAAAACCCTACGGAGCACAGTTCTACTCAGCACACATGAGGTTGCCCTGAGTTGGAATTGACAGCAACTGGTTTGGTTTGGTTTTGGTTATGTTTCTTAATTGAAGTATACCTACGTAGACACGAGAGAAGTACATACAGTGTTATCATGGTTTTGCTGTAGATCTGCACTGTTAAATTAAAGTTCAGTTCATTAGTTGCACTAGCCATATTCCTAGTGCTCAAGGGTCGCATGTGGCTAGTGACTACAGTATCGAACAATGCAGAAGTATAGCATTTCCATCATCACAGAACGTTCTATTGGGCAGCATTTACCTAGATGCTTAGGAAATAAAGTGTTAGGTGTTTTTTACTGTTACTGTAAAGGGGAATTGCAACAGCGAGCCACAGATCCATCAGGGGGTTTGGTGCTGTTTAGTTTCCAATCATGTCATTAAGAGTCACTGTTGTTGCCGTGTTCTTTGTTGTAGGTCTTTTGGATGGTCTAGCATGGACCCTGTTGCTGCTCACAGCTGCCATCTCCTTCAGCAACTACACGAGCAGCGGATCCAGGGCCTGCTCTGCGACTGCATGCTGGTGGTGAAAGGAGTCTGCTTCAAAGCACACAAGAACGTCCTCGCTGCCTTCAGTCAGTACTTCAGGTGCGCGTTAGACGGCCTCCTGCTGATCGTGGCGGGTGGGGGGGCTGGGTTCTTCTAGAATGGCTGTGTTTTGGCTCAGTTTTGTTTTCTCCTTGGATTTCATTGTCTGTCTTTTGTAGCAAATGTGTATATATATATATACACACACACGTATGTCTGTATCTGTTTATGTATGTATCTATGTATATCTAAAGATGTATATATATGTGTATATGCCAATCTCTTAACCACAATTGGTGCAGTGGTTAAGAGCTATGGCAAGCTGCGGCTGCTAACCAAAAGGTCGGCACTTTGAAACCACCAGCTGCTCCTTAGAAACTCTATGGGGCAGTTCTACTCTGTCCTGTAGGGTTGCTGAGTCAAAATAGATGGCAATGGGTTTGGTTTTTTGTTTAATGTGTATATATGTGTGTACATACATATATACATAAATTGATTGATCAATTAATTAATAGAACATGCTTTTGCTTTTAGAGAAATGTGAAAAGAGCCTCTTAACTAAAACGTATTTGGGGAGATTGAAAGTATTTTGTCACTTTGTCTTTAATTTTAATAATTCTAATTAAATGTCAGTCATCTATATATATTTCTTCTCCTTTCAGAATAGAAAGATTAAAGAAATGAATACCTGCTAAGAACTTGTCTGTGATAAGAAATCAGAGAGGGAAAACATCCTTATGCTGTGGTTTTGTTCTCTTTTTTTTTAATTAAAACATTTTCGTTTTTGTTTCTCACTTGAATATTCCAAGGAGACCTTAGATTTTAACTCAACCTAGTGTTTCATGGCCTATAATAAGTTCTGCTTATACGAAATGTTTATTTATGAATACTGAATAATGTCAAGCAATTGTTCATTTATTTAACATTATTAGAGTTAAGTATTCTATCTAAATTAATTTTTCTGGTTAACTGAGATTTTACCTCTCTTTAAGAACCAGAATTGCCTCTTTTTGCATTTTTTTTGATTATCACTTTTTGTTTCCAAAATGCATTCTATTTTACTGCTGTAGTAAACAATATATGGACATGGTTCAGTCTTTCCTTGATAACCCAGAGTAATCAGACTAAACCTCAGTTGTTGTGTGTTATGATGACATGTTACAATGGATCAGCCCGTTGATATGGGTAGCTTTTTTTTTTTGATTGTACTTTAGATGAAGGTCTACGAACAAGTAGTTTCTCATTAGACAGTACACATACTGTTTTATGACAATGGTTAACAACCCCACGACATGTCAACACTCTCCCTTCTCAACCTTGGGTTCCCTATTACCAGCTTTCCTGTCCCCTCCTTCCTTCTAGTCCTTGTCCCTGGACCGTTGTGCCCCATTAGTCTCGTTTTGTTTTATGGGGCTGTCTAATCTTTGGCTGAACGGTGAATGTCAGGAATGACTTCATTACTGACCTAAAAGGGTGTCCGAGGGCCATACTCTCAAGGTTTCTCCAGTCTCTGTCAGGCCAGTAAGTCTGGTCTTTTTTGGTGAGTTAGAATTTTGTTCTACATTTTCCTCCAGCTGTGTCCAGGACCCTCTGTTGCGATCCCTGTCAGCGCAGTCAGTGGTGGTAGCCAGGCACCATCTAGTTATAGTGGACTCAGTCTGGTGGAGGCCATGGTAGTTGTGGTCCATTAGTCCTTTGGACTAATCTTTTCCTTATATTTTGTTTCCTTCATTCTCCCTTGCTCACGAAGGGGTGAGACCAGTGGAGTATCTTAGATGGCTGCTCACAGGCTTTTAAGTGGGTAGCATTTTTTGCCCCTGTGCAAAATGGTCCCTGGCTCTTGGGATTCTCTGTGGCCTGTTTCTTTCTTCTTCCCAGGACGGTTAGGTATCGGTGTCATGACACACTGCTGTTTTCAATGTTCCCTGTCCTGCTTCTGATTTGTACTGCCCGTAAGTAAGAACAGAACTAAAGACTATTTTTGGGGTGACTGACCCATAAGTAAGAATAGAACTGAAGGCTGTTTTGGGGTGACAGACCCTATGGGGCAGTTCTTCTCTGTCACATGAGGTTGCACTCCATGGCACCTAACAACAACCACCACCACCCCAGGTGACTGCATTTGATAAAATGTCTTCAACAAACTTGTGAGATAATTTCCCCTACTCCACTTGTTATTTTATACACAATACTGATCGCTTGCCTGTGAACTTGAGAATAAAGTGCCTGGGCTTTGCAGTGCCTTTTTCCTCATTAGCTCATAGGGCTTCTCTCATTTCTGGTTTATAGAACAAATGGCTTGCTGAAAAACCTAGAAGCCAACTAAATTACTGATTACAAAAAGAGTGTATACCGAAGTTGGGTTTGTTAAAGCTATTTTAATTTTTAGAAAATTTTAAAGCATGTAGCTATGGAAGTATTTGCTGATGTGTTTTATGGCCTGAAATATATAATTCTTTAGACTAAAGATGAAATATTGAAAAATTTAGTGTCCTTTATTTTACTATACTCTCACCAGGTAATTAATAATATATGTGGATAATTCCGTTTTGAAAAAACGTTAAGATAGAACAATTACGTGCTGAATGGATCAAATTAGGAATTATCTTTGAATTGCCTTGGTTTGTCAGCCATACTACTATGTGTTGCTGTTGTTTTTTTCAATCTGTAAATTTAATAAGTACATTTCAAAAATTTTACCTTGAAATCTGTTTGGAAGGTTGGGTATCCAACAACTCTAATTTAATTCATCTGAATTGCTAAATTGTATGGCTTGCTAAAATTTTTTAGAGGATTAGTTAATTTTAATGTCTTGGCATTTATAGAAGGAGGGTAATTTTGAAAATTAACATGAATATTGTTTATAAGAATACATTATCAGAATGTATGGCATTTTAACGCTGTAAACAGATATCCTTTCTTTTATCAGGAGCCTCTTTCAGAACTCTTCAGGCCAGAAGAATGATGTTTTTCACTTGGATATTAAAAATGTCAGCGGCATAGGGCAGATCCTGGACTTCATGTACACTTCTCATCTAGATCTTAACCAGGACAATATACAAGTCATGCTGGACATAGCACACTGTTTACAAGTTCAAAATGTTCTGAATCTGTGTCACACATTTTTAAAATCAACTACTTTAGACCAGCCACCTGGCATACCTTGTAACAGTACGTTTTCCCCGCAGAGTGCTTTGACTCCTGATGCTAATTGTGTTATAAATGAGAATTACCCTCCTCAGTTACTGCAGGAGTGTTCACCAGATGCACAGCATAATAAAGTTGCGGATGAACCTCATTCTAGTGCGGCACCATCCGTCAATCTTCATAACTCTTCAGGTGAAATACCAAAACAAGCCCCAGATACTTTAGATAGCAGCTGCACAGAACTGCCTTTTAAGCAGCCAAATTACTATTATAAACTCAGAAACTTTTACAGTAAGCAGTACTATAAACAAGCCACTTGTCCTAATCATGAGAGAATAATCGAGCAGCCTTTCGCTTTCAGTACATCCACAGACCTTAATGCAGTAGAAAACCCACCTTGTGCTGTTAGTCATCCCGAATGTATCCTGGAATCTTCTGAGCACTTGCCGTCCAACTTCCTGGCCCAACCTTTGAGTGAATCTGCTCCAGACCCAGAATCAGACTGCACGTGCCCACAGCCTGCCAAACAGATGAGGCTCAAAAAAGCCATTCACCTTAAGAAACTAAATTTCCTCAAGTCACAGAAATCTGCAGAGCAAACATCTGAGCCCAAATCTAATGATGATGTAACCAAGAGGATCGGATCCACTAGTGAAAACTTGATAGAGAAAGCTAGCAGCCAAAGTACTGAAGAAAAAGAGAGTGAAGAACTGGCCAGTTCAGAGAATTTTAGTTGCATGAATGAAACGGAAAGGCTTGAAGACCCTGCTGTGTTGGAAGACCAGTCACAGGCTCTGCAGTCCCAGAGACAGTACGCCTGTGAATTGTGTGGAAAACCCTTTAAACACCCAAGCAATCTGGAGCTTCACAAACGGTCTCATACAGGTACACCGATTCAGTACTCGCAGGCAGAAGGAAAGGAAGTAATGCAGTCTCAGACACCACTGCCTGCTCTTTTTTTGTAAGAAGTTTTGCTATTGCTTGATGACATCTTTAAATGTTTAAAAAAAATCAAGGGGCATTTTATCTACTTTATTTTTGATGGTGCATCGTGAATAATCAAGTTCTGTAAATGGTTCTATAGAACCAGTTTAGAAAGACAGCATGCTTTTAATTTTTATTTTAATTATGGTTTTATATGTTAAACTTTCTTCACTAAAGAAGTACAGTAAGTTATTTTGATGCACTCAAAATTTCAAGTTAATTCTAAAGCAGATAAGCTGTATTTAGTTTAAGTTGTGTCTTTAGAATTAGGTTAAGCTTCTAATTATAAAGTATTGTTAATTGCCATCAAGTGGATTCTGACTCAAGGCAACTCACATGTTGCAGAGCGAAAGTGTTTTTCATGGGGTTTTCAAGCTCTTGCTTGACCTTTGGAAGCAGGTCACCAGGCTTGTCTTCTGAAGTGCCTTTGGGTGGGTTCGAATTGCCAACCTTTGGACCAATAGAATGCTTAACCCTTTGCATCATCTAGGGACGCCTTTATAAAGCATAATGTAGATTAATTCAGACTAAAATAATTTAGTTTGAGTAATTCTAAGAGTTCTTTCAGAAGTAGTTTAGTGTATCTGATTTTAAAATTAGGGTTTGGGAGGGAGGAGATATACTTTTTAATAAGGATCAGCTTTAACTATTCAGTATTTTCAAATGCAAATTCTTACATTTTGAGCATTGAATTTTCAAAGTTTTATTACCTTAATTCATACCTCCTCCTCTTTCCCAAAAGTTTCTTCTTTTTTTTAAGGTGTTGTCATGTGTAAGGAGACCTGGTGGCGCGGTGTTAAACGATCAGCTGCTAACAGAAGGGTCAGCAGTTCAAACCCACCAGCCACTCCATGGGAGAAAGATGTGGCAGTCTGCTCTCATAAAGATTACAGCCTTGGAACCCCTGTGGGGCAGTTCTACTCTGTCTTATAGGGTCACTGTGAGTTGGAATTGACTCAGCAGCAACAGGTTTGCTTTTGGTTTTTTCTGTATGATACGTATACATTACTTTCCTTCCTGTAATTAAAATGATGAGTTTAATAACGGGTTACAAATTAACAATAATTATTTTATAGGCCTGAGAAGTAATGTGCTACGGGATGCTTCCAAAATAGCTGCTTTTAAGGTGCTTGTGTTGTTGCGTTTATTGATGTGCTGTTTTATTATCACTTTGGATTCCCAGTTTGCTTGGGTGTTTACTACCTCATCGTATTGTTGTGAGACTTCACTAAGATTTGTGAAAGCCCTTTATAAATTTTAATTCATTTGAGCGTAAATTACAATTTTTGTTATTACTAGTAGTTCAAAATTATTTCATATGATGGCAGTATCATTGACTTAGTTTAGCCCTGAAAAAACTTAATTTAGATCATCTTGTTCAGGAAACCCTGGTGGCATAGTGGTTAAGAGCTATGGCTACGGCTGCTAACCAAAAGGTCGGCAGTTTGAATCCACCAGCCACTCCTTGGAAACCCTATGGGGCAGTTCTACTCAGTCCTCTAGGGTCCCTATGAGTCGGAATTGACATGATGGCAACAGGTTTGGTTTTTTTTGTTTTTTTTGTTTTGTTTTGTTTGCTTAAATTTCCTGGAGCCTAATGATTACTATAATTTTATTTGGAGAACTTATCTATTTAGCTTCAAAAGAAAGGAAAATTAAATTGTTTATTCTGCAAGAACATGTTTGAATGACGGTAGTCAGATGGCAGAGATGCTTGCTGGGACGTAAATACTCTATCGAGAAGAGTATCAGTTCTCAGAGTATGGGCTGGGTAACCCTGGAAGTCCCCAAGACCCTTTTAGGGGGGTCTGCAAGGCCAAAACTTTTTTCATAATAGCATAAGATGTTTGCCTTTTCTCTCTCCTTTTTATGAATATACAGTGGAGTTTTCCAAAAACTACATGATGTGTGATGAAGCCATCACTCTGATGGCCAGTCAGGTCTGTGCTCATGTATTTGGTGTACACGGTATATATTGATAGATAAAACCCACATAGACAAAAGCTCTTTAGGGTGCTCACTTTTTAAAGCGTAAGGGGTCCTGGGACACTGGGGTAGGGCTGTTGACCCTTGGTTGCTTGTGAGTTTTAAGAGCCAGTGACCTGAGTTTCAAACTCTTATGTCTTATGAGGGAGCTTTAATTTACCATTCCCTATCATACCAGTAATTTCATGCATAAATGTAACCCCAAAATACAGAAGTAATATGATTATAATTATGCAGGGTCAAAAAAGCTGTCCTCTTTGTGGAAGCCATTAAACATTTTCAGGAAAAGATCAAAGCAAAAATTTCTTAGCATGAGCCCAGAAAGCTAACGGACTAGTTTCTTTACAGTAGCAAGTCCCACAAAACCATCCCATGAGATTACCTTTTAGCAAAATGACAGATTGGCACAGAAAATAAAGGCTATTTATCTGAGAGTACAGTGCTCCATTAAAAAAACATCTATATGAGACCAAATGGTCAACAATTATTCTAAAGCAAAGATGAGAAGACAAGGGGACTGGGAAACTAGAGTACTGGAAACAGAACAACCAGAATGCAGTTAAAGAGAATGTTGACACATTGTCAAAAATGTAATCAGTGTCACTGAACAGTTTGTTTAGAGATTGTCAAATGGGAACCTAGTTTGCTGTGTAAACTTTCACCAAAAACACAGTAAGATAGTATCCCAAAAAAAAAAGTAGCAAGCCCCAGCAGTACAGTAGAAAGGGAAAAATACTATTTTTAAAAGAGAATATTTATGAAACCACTTGGTTTGAGAGGAATGGGAAAAGGGAAGGTTCTCAGTGCCCCAAGTCTGTTTCTTAGGGCTATGTGAATATAAGGCAGTACTTTGAGTAAGTACCTGTTCTAGTACACTTAAACAGAGTGTCTTCTAGAGACTATATCCAGAACAGCTGTCGTTTCATTGTAGTAGAGTACCATTCTCTACAATTTATTCTTTTACCAAAATATAATTATTTAGAATTAATAAAACCAGAGGTGACTGGGAAGTTAGCAGAGGATCTCATCTCCCATACTGAAATCTGTCTTCCCTCATTACTGTTTTTAAACCCAGTCTCTTTCTTTATTGGGCATTCAAGAGGTCCCACTCTGTGGTGTTCACACCTTGTGTGGTCTGAGTGAGTTCCCCTATTTCAGTTAGAAATAATGTTAAAGTGAAGAGTCAGGCTGGAGAGCAAGGTATATAAGGTTCATGCTGTTCAGCAAGAAAACTCACATTTGATACCCAACTGTAGGAAAAGATGATGTCCAAAACCTAGGTATGGTTTTAAGCCAAATAAATTTGATTTCATCATAGGTTTTTATTTAGGGAACAATTTAATTTTTGAGAGAGAAATAAATATAGATTTCATGTTTATTATCTCCACCTAGCATCTAAGGGTGAGAGAGAGAAGGATACGGCAGTGGTGGCTCCTGTTTTCATACTCTGACAAAGGATGGAGTGCTCTGCTTTTGAAATGTAGGACACAGAAGATGAACATTTTACACAAAAAATTATTGTCAAATATTGCTAATGATTTTACAAGTTGTTTTTTTGTTTTGTTTTAGGTGAGAAACCTTTTGAATGTAACATTTGTGGGAAACATTTCTCTCAGGTGGGAATACTGTTATTTACTGTTAATAATTGGAAACCTGAAACCCAGTGTTTATTTTTATTACAAATAAAGCATGCTGTTGGACTTGTCAGAGAAGCCTCTGATGATACCTGTACTTAAAAGACTTCAAACTAAACCAGGCAAAAATCATTTTCAAGAAAACAAATTTCCAGTTCGTTGGGAAAAATAGCATTTTTTATGTGTGTGAATTCTCACAATACCTTTTGTTTTTGCCACTAAGAATGGGTCCAGTCCTCTTCTCTGTCACTTCTCTCGTGAATAAAGTTCCCAGTAAAACACCTTGAGTGTACAAATTATGCTGGGCTAGGTCCAAGACAAGGAGCCCTGGTGGCACAGTGGTTAAGCGCTCAGCTGCTAACCAAAAGGTTGGTGGTTCAAACCCACGAGCCGCTCCCCGGGATAAGGATGTGGCCATCTGCCTCCATAAAGATTTACAGCCTTGAAAACCTTATGGGGCAGTTCTGTTTTCTCCTGCAGGGTTGCTATCAGTTGGAATTTACTTGACGCCAGTGGGTTAGGTCCAAGACAGAATACTCTTCTTACTCGTATTGGGACTACTGATTTTAGGATGTCAGACAAAAGACCAAACGATTTTCATTCCCTGCTGATCTCTATTAAAATCATTTGGGCACACATTAATTTTCTTATTCAGCAAACATTTATTGTACCCTACCACAGGCCATGTGCTGTGCTGGACACTAGTCGTAAAGAAACTTACAGATTCCACATTTTACAGAAAATTTAGAATGTGTTAGAATAGCCTGTGGAACCTACTCTTTCTGCAGTAGAATCTAACTGTTTACCTGCCACATGCTGGGCACTGGGATTCCAAAGCTCAGCTGCTTTCAGGGAGTGTGCGGTTCTGCAGAGGAAACGATCACTGGCACAACTTTTTTACACACAGTGCAGTAAATTGTCTAGCAACAAGTGCTGTGTAACTGGGGGATGACTTTGGAGCTGGGCCTTGACTAAGGAGTAACCAGTTGCTGTGGAGTTAACTCCGACTCACAGCCACCCCATGTGTGTCAGAGTAGAACTGTGCTGCATAGGGTTTTCATGGCTGTGACCTTTCAGAAGTAGATCACTAGGCCTTTCTTCCAAGGTGCCTGTGGGTAGACTCTTAACTGCCCACCTTTTGGTTAACAGCTGCAAATTAACCTTTTGCTCCACCCAGGGATGGAGGAGTAGAGGCCATTAGTCTGGTAAGAGTTGGGAAGCACATCACACACAGCATGGGGACATAGAGCAATGCCGTCTTCTGACACGTTCCCTGTGGAGCCAGCTCTTCAGTGTTCCCCTTCATCTGTTGAGAGTGTCAGTTCAGTTTTCCCATGCACTCAACCTGCAATTTTAATTGCTTTCACTGCTCCCACTCTTTGACTCCCTCCTGAGTTACCAAGGCCTAACGGTCTTCCTCTGCATCATCAGTCCTGTCCTCCCCTGACCATTAGTTCTGTGGGCCAGGGACCATGTCTTGTTTTTCATTATACCCCTAGCATCCAGGAAAATGCCTAAAAACAAGAAAACCAAACCTGTTGCCATCTAGTCAGTTCTGATTCATAGAGACCCTGTAGTCACTGTGGAAATGCCTGTTGTTGCTGTCAGGTGCCATCGAGTCAGTTCCGACTCATAGCGACCCCGTGCACAACGGAACGAAATTCTGCCCAGTCCTGCGCCATCCTCATAATCCGTGTTATGCTTGAGCCCATTTTTGGAGCCACTGTGTCAATCCATCTTGTTGAGGGTCTTCCTCTTTTTCACTGACCCTCCACTTGACCAAGCATGACGTCCTTCTCCAGGGTCTGATCCCTTCTCCAGGGTCTGATCCCTCCTGATAACATGTCCAAAGTGTGTGAGATGTAGTCTTGCTGTTTTGCTTCTAAGGAGCATTCTGTTTGTACTTGTTCATTTTTTTGGCCATCCACGGTACGTTCAATATTCTCCACCAACACAATTCAAAGGCATCAGTTCTTCAGTCTTCCTTATTCACTGTCCAACTTTCACATGTGTATGAGACGATGGAAAACACCATGGCTTGGGTCAGGCGCACCTTAGGCTTCAAGGTGACATCTTTGCTTTGTAACATTTTAAAGAGTTTTGCAGCAGATTTGCCCAATGCAGTGCGTCATTTGATTTCTTGACTGCTGTTTCCATGGGTGTTGATTATGGATCCAAGTAAAATGAAATCCGTGATGACTTCAGTCTTTTCTCCAATTATCATGATGTTGCTTATTGGTTCAGTTGTGAGGATTTTTGTTTTCTTTATGTTGAGGCGTAATCCATACTGAAGGCTGTGGTCTTTGATCTTCATCACTAAGTGCTTAAAGTCCTCTTCACTTTCAGCAAGCAAGGTTGTATCATCTGCATAATGCAGGTTAATGAGTCTTCCTCCAATCCTGATGCCCCCTTCTTCTTCATATAGTGCAGCTTCTCGGATTATTTGCTCAGCATACATGAAAATGTCTAGCACCTCCTAAATGTTCAGAAAATATTTGATGAAGGAACAGAACCATCATCCCCCTAGCCACCATTCTAGATGAGGTGCTTACTTCTTCATACCAGCCTAGCCTAGGGGTTCAGAACATGGGCTCTGGGGCCGACAGGCTGGATTTAAATCCTGCTTGTGACCTTGGACAAGCACCTAACCTCTTGGTACTTCAGGTTCCTTCTCTGTGAGACAAGAATAATAAGATCACTTACCTCAGTAGGGTGGGTGAGGATTAAATTCGTAATATTAAGTACTTGGGACAGTGCCTGGCACATGTAAGTATTCAGGACACGTCATCATTATCTGTCCTATTGCCATCACCTCCTCTCTTCTGTCTCTTCATCCTCTCTGCTCTGGTTTAGACTGGCTTCCTGAGGCAGTGTGTCAGTCTTAGCAGCTGTGCTGTGGTGGGGAGAGTGGAAGGCCTGGACGAATGACTGTAAATATTGGTCACAACTTCTCGGTGCCTCGTGTCCCGTGGGCCTATAAACCAGTTGCCATCAAGTCAGTTCTGACTCATGGTGACCCCATGTGTGTCTGAGTAGAAGTGTGCTCCATAGAGACTCCTCATGGGACTGTTAGGATTAAATGAAAAAATGGATGGAAAGCCCTTGATACATTTAAATTGTGATAACGTAAGTTACATCATTCTCTTGCTCTGAACCCTTCCACGACTCTCCATTGCTAACCAAATAAAGGAAAAGCAGGCATGCAAATATCTTTGTAGTCTGCATGGAGCCTTCTCACCTGGCTTTGGTGCCTGGTCCCCAGCCTCAGAGATTCTAACCCTGACAGTTGGAGTGGGGCTCAAGAATTGGTATTTTTAAAAATATAGCGATTTTGATGTGCAGCCAAGATGGAGAACCACTGCTTTAGACCTTGTCCTGCAGCAGGTACCTTTTGAAGCCTGCAGGGGGTAGCCATGTCTGACAGACACTATGGAAATCCTCGTCTCTTTTCTTTTTTACTCTGTTGGTATCTATTTTTGTTAGATTTTTACATGTAGATAATTACAGTTTTCAGATGCATATTGCTTTTTTATTTTCGTAGTGAATGGTGAAATTTTTGTGAACAAGGACTGTGTTTCAACAAGTGCTTGTTGTGAGCCTGCCACGTCCAAGGAATTCTGTCTCGTGCTGGGGGGTACAAAGAAGACTAAGGCATGGTTCCTGCCCTTGAGGAGCTTATTGTTTAGAGGAAGAACTAGATATGTGAACTGATAAGAACAATGAGATCTCAGAAGTGTTGCAACAGAATAGGTATGGGGAACAGTGTGGGCAAGGAAGAGAGAGTAGTACTTCCTGCCTGAAAGGTGTGGGTGTTTGGGGTGAGGCAAGGGCACGGACTGCTTGAGGTTGCTTAGGTGAGGCCTGAAGACAAGCAGGCATTTGATGAAGTGGAAGTCTGGTATTCCAGATCAAGGGGGCAGTCATGTTGTCTATGTAGATACTAAGTAAGTAATACCCTCAAACCCATAAGCCCTCACCTTAAGCCAAAAAAATCATTTATCGTAATGAACTGGAATAAATGGTTGTGGTTTCAGTGGATCAGAATGCTCCCAATGTAGTTTGCCACAGTGTTTGCTTTGCCAGAAGTGCGTTCCTAAAGATTCTGCCTTCTAGAAGATTCGAAAGTTAGAAAACAGATTTACCAGTAAGAGTTAATCTTTCATCCTGTTTATTCAGAATTTATTATTTAGTAAAGTTAGTCTTAAAAAAAACAGAAAAAAAGTTAACCACAACCTTAGTAGTGAGTCGGCAAGCAGTATGGTATGTCACCCAAAAAAGGTGATGTTATCTTAGGTTGCAGCAAGAAGATACCTATTAGCATAACTCTGGACACTAGAGCTCAGGAAGTAAAAGTCATCCCTACTCTAGAGTTTTCACGAGTCTACATTCACAGGAAGTAGAACATGGACAATTTGGAGTATATCCAGAGGATACAAGATAAAAAACTAAGATAGTGATAGGCTTCAATCCCTGTCACCTGAGAAGTCGGAGAAAGAAAACTTGGGTTGTTTAGCTCTCTTTTGGGAGAGGAACAGACTTGTTCGGTTTCTCCAAGGAGGCAGAAATAGAAGCATTGGCACGTGTTACAGAAAGACAAGTTTTGAGAGGCTCAGTGTTTTCCCAGCAGTGCTATTTAGCAGTGGGATGGCTACCTTGTGTCCAAAACCAAAAAACTAGTTACCATTGAGTTAACTTCTACTCATGGTGACCTTATATGTGTCAGAGTAGAACTGTGCCCCATAGGGATTTCAGTGGCTGATTTTTTTGGAACTAGATCACCATGCCTTTCTTCTGAGGTGCCTCTGGGTAGACTGGAACTTCCAGCCATTCAGCTGCACCATTCAGGGACTCCACCTTGTGTCCAGGGAGTGTTATTAAAGCGATTCCAGTATTCTGTAGGAAGTTGGCTTAGATACATGGTTCCCAAGGCACTGATTTGGGCCAATGCCAGAGGGGACAGAGTTGTACCTGGTCCATGGCGA